ATTTTATAATGTTTTGTTTACATACAATGTGTTTTATATGAAATTTGAATATTTAAAAAAAATGATCGTTACAATAAAAAACACTATTATAAAATTATGTAAATTTTGTTTGTATTTATAACTATTTTTACTTCGTGACTTAGAGCTTACATCATTAATACATACTTTATATACGTTTGAAGATGGTATCTTCCGAATCAAACACAACTGCGGCATCCAGTCCCTTCACTTCAATATCACTTTTCTCCAGTTGTAAAAGACAAACACTGACCTAGACAAACCACTAGACCCCTTTATTTCATCGTATATTTTTACCGCATTAGTACGGGACTACGCAAACTTCCCAGGGTGTATCGAGGAGTCCGCAGTATAGGAGGGTTTTTGCGAACTGTCCCTAGCAGGGCGTCATAAATCATTCCCGGGATCGGTTAACGCGTTTTTCAACGACCCACAAATGTGGCGTGACACCTTCTATATTTCTATACGATGGGAACATTGAAAGTCGATTATGCGAGATTAAAATTACCGTTCTATTTTTAAATATTTCCAAACAGTAATTATGGCGTCGTTTCAAACAATGACTGGTCTGTATTGCAGTAGTCCGTAGAGTAAAAAGCATTCCATTTTTAAATATATTTCTAACACTAATTTATGATATTGTTTGGAATGATGACTGGTCATATAATAACCATTCCATTTTTAAATATATTGCTAAATTGTCTATATTGTTTGGAATGATGAGCGCTTTTTATTCCATTTTTAAATATATTGCTAAAAATAATGTCATATATTATTTGGAATGATGAGTGCTCAATATTTGGATATTTGTAAGAACAAAACTGCTGTTCTATTTTTAAATATATTTCGGATGATAATTGTGATGATGTTATAAATAATTACTTATTCCATTCTTTAAATAGTACTTATATTTTGTAACTGGAGTTGCTATGAAAATATTATTTTTGAAAATGTAATCGACTTTTTTCTAAATTTTAATATATACACAAATACACGTACAATTTTAAAAAATATATACCTATATTTATATGTTATCTCTATATCAATAGAACTTTAAAAAGTTGATACAAGGATAAGGACAAGACTTAAATTTTTATTACAAATAAAAGCAATAATGAATAAATTTACATAAAAATTGGCATTTGGCCTCATTACTTGTACCCATTTGAAGTTTAAAAGTAGACTAGGCTGTACGGTCTAAGGTCTAAAGATTTTAATTAACTGCAGGCAATAATTACAATTAATAATTAGTAAGAAACTTTAATAATAAAATATTTATAAATGTGCAGTAGTATCAAGACTTTCTAAACTTCATGTCTGCAAACACTCATTGAACAAATAATATCAATTGAACTGACTCTACACACTAAGTATAAAAACACATTCGTTATACTTCTGAACAATCTCCGACGAGATAAATAAACCGTAAACTTAACTCCGACGATCATAACATTTTTATTGTCACAATAACTATTCGTAGCAAAACTTGATCTTTTGATAGAAAGAAAGGGATGCCAAAATGGGATTTTAAGGTTGACGAAAAGAGATAACAAGTGTTAGTAGTTAGTGAAAACATATTAATGTGTTACTAAGTTGAATTACTATATTTATAGTTGTTTGGTGATGTTATTGACGTCATTACGAGGGTTCCTTGTGCGAATAAGAAATTATTACTAATTGGTTTTCCTTCTCTATGGTTCCGTATCGTTTTCTTAAGGAATTTAGAATGTGGAAAATATTTCAATTTTTTTAATTAAGAAAATGATGACATACTTAATGGAAAGTGAACTATACATATATATACAGTATCTTGAAATCATTCCGAACTGACGGTAGATTTGATATGTAGGTACGTTGTCTCGTGTGTGGGGGCCCCACTGAAAGTCAGTGCTGTGGTATAAATTAGATATACTACAGTATAAATGTTGAGTGGGAGTCAAATTCAGCGTTACTAGTATGAATAGAATAGAATAGAATATGTTTTAGCTTTTAAGTTGTATAGTAAATAAGAATACTGTATAGGTGAATAAATGTCTCTATTATGTATTATTATATCATAAGAGTCTGTAATAGACCTACATGAATAAATATATTTTGAATTTGAAGCATGGTTGTTATGCGGTGCATTTTCTAAGGACTAAGGAAACAGTTTATGAAGTGTCACTTCAGCAAGTCACTTGCTAAATATGGCGGTTAAAATAATAATAATAGATCTCGATAATTCAGTGCTATCTAGTCCTAACCTAAGCAAAGCTTGTGTTATGGGTACTAGATAACTGATATAAATACTTTTTTTTAATAAATACAAAATACACATAAAATACACATAGAAAACACTCAGACTAATAAAACAATCATACACGTGAATACAAATGTTTGCACCGTGTTAAGTTATTGAATCCGCAACCATTGGAGAGTAATGAAGTATGCTAAATCACTATATTATTGAGATTAACACATAATAGGTAGCACGAATACAAAGACATGGAACAAAATACGGTTACCGACTTTCTATTAGTCACGTTCAGTTGTCGACAACCCATAGAGTAGGTCTGAAAGAATTAGACGCCCTTTGGAGTCCACACGTCCCATAGGGGTGCCAACTGTACGAGAATTCTCGTACAGTTGTACGAGATATTGTACAAGATACGAGGCCGTATTCATTCTCGTAGAATTTTGTACACGAGATTTTTTTAGATTTTGATCTATCTACTAATTTACTAATGAGTAAATCTCATACAGTTGTATGTATAGTACAACATACGAGGCCGTCATCATTCTCGTGGAATTTTGTACGAGATTTTGACCTATCTACTAATTTACTAATGGGTAAATCTCATACAGTTATATAGTATAACATATGAGGCCGTCATCATTCTCGTGGAATTTTGTACGAGATTTTGACCTATCTACTAATTTACTTATGAATAAAATTTTACACTATCGCTATATTTTTGTATTACTTCTTCTTTTTACATATTCTATTTTGTATACTTACTTTAGTTAGTGTATATAGCACTACATGAAATAGCTATGAAAAGCCTAGTAAACAAGTAACTAACGACATGGACAGGGAGGGGGGATGTCATTAAATAGGATTAGTGACTCAATTGATAGCAACATACACCTATCAGATCAACCTCCACGCGATCCTCTCTCGAAACCATCCTGATTAATTCCTGGAGACTTAGGCACTATGTACTAATTCTTCTGACTTTATTCTCATCCTATCATCCCTTAGTGACATCCCGCCAGCGTAGACAATTAAGCGTAGGAGGTTCCACCATGGATACACCATTCGATATTCATTCATTAAAAACCCGTAATGCACTTAGTATCTAGATAGCTATATACGATACGCCCCTTGTCCTCTTGGTAGACGGAGATTATTCTCCATTGAATAATGTTACAATAACTGTTGACAAAACATTAACATAAGAGCACTATGGATCTTAAGAAATTTTAATTATTTTGTATAATATTTTTTCTGTATTTATATATTCACTCATATTATAATAAGGATATATATTTTATCTTCTTGTATATTCTGGTAATTTATTTATTTATATATTTTTATCGACATTACCAGAAGATTAAATTAGAAAAAAGCTAAATAGGACAAAGTTTTTTTAAACTTTTTTTAAACGGCACAGAATAATTAAGTTTTATTAGAAGCAATATACAATATTTTTGATGTCTCTGTATGGCAACCCTAGCCTGAAAGAATAGAGCGGACGCCTTTTGGAGCCGTCACGTCACCGTCCCTTCCGGATAGCGACAATTTGTCAAAGGTTACACCATACAAGAACAATATGGACCTTAAGAGACTTTAATTATAATGTATACTATTTTTTCTGTGTTTATATATTCACTGGTATTATATAAAAAAAAAGTAGTATTTTTTTTTAATTATTCATAAATATTTTATCTTTTTTTATATTTTTGAAACATTCCGGTAATTTATTAATATTATACATATTTATCGACTTCGTCAGAGGACTAAATGTGAAAGAGGATGAGACAAAGTAAGTTTGAATTTGGAAGCATTAGTCTGTGATTAATCTGTTTTTCAATGGCACAGATTAGTTATGTTTTTATTTTATTATTAGAAGCAATATACGAGATTTTTGACGTCTCTGTATGGCAACCCTGTTCTGAAAGAATAGAGCAGACGCCTTTTGGAGTCGCCACGTCACCGTCCCTTCCGGACAGCGACAATTTGTCAAAGGTTTCACCATAGATAGGTTTAACGGTCTCCGGGAATAAAACATGACCTGTTTGTCCCCTACAATTTTACGATTCATCCCTGTTGCGATGGAAATTAGAAAACATTCACATGTCACCAACAGACTGGGTTGTGACAACTGTATTTGATTTCGGATAGCGGAATTGCTGTAAGACCCCTTATGTGAATAGCAAATGACATGGAAAGATGGACAATGGAAATCAATTTATATTTTTATGTTACCTGTAATTTTTTTTATTAATAATATCCTTGGACAATTCACACAGCACCATCAAGTCCAAAGTTAAGCCGAGCTTGTATGACTACTAGATAATTGATATAAATATCTAGATATTTATTTGTAAATACATATATAATATACATAGAAAACACCCAGACCGATAGAAATAGTCATATTCATGAATACATTTTGTACCGTGCGAGGAATCGAACCCGAACATCGATAGTAAAGCGGTGTGCTAAACCACTAGATCAGCGAGGCCATGTGCTGCGGTGTTTGTATCTATTATAATGTTTTTTTTGGAACAAGGACATATCTGGAATCCAAGGAGATTAATTCCTGGTAAATTCACCATGATGACCAAAGGGACCTGACATGTCATCCTATTATTCTTCACTGGTGACACTCTAGCATTTTGTGACATTACCGTATATACATACAAGAAATAGCCTAAATGGTATCTACTTTTATGGTTAGAAATCCCTTTAACATAAGTAAGGTGTAAAACGTACTTACCTGTTCTACCCACACGTTCGTTGTCATGATTTGATTCTTAAGATTCTGGAAAGAAAGAAAACATAGATGTCAGCTACATGTGTGTGGGAATTGTATTATGAACAAAATCGTTTATCCTGCTTCTATATGGTTTTCTAAATGTAGTAATAATTTACTTGGAACTAAAGTACCGAAACGATAGTCATTCTGTTATAAGAATTAGTTTAAAGAGGTTTACTGTTAGAATAATAAAATATTTATCTTGATAGAATTTATAAACTTGTCTGCACAGATAGAGGTACCCTTTGTCTCAACTACTTCTGCCGCTAAGCAGTTAGATATGTTTTCGTTGACGGTTGAGATATGGCAATGAAATTACATGGATGCAAATACATATGAGTTCTTAGTACTAACAACACATTAGGGGTATCATTGGCCTGTAATCGACGTTGCCATCTACCGTCGGTGGTACGCTAATTTTATTGTCATTCCAGTCATATAAAAAATATACAGAAATTATGTTACAGAGGAAGTTTTGCAAGTGTACAATATACTGGTGTTGATTATTACTAAGATTAAACTAAAATCCAAATATGTAATACCTAACAGAGTTCGCTACAAATAAATAAAACCTCATAATAAATCGGAAACAAGAGTTTATAAAACATAAGATGTAGATAAAGTCCATGGATAGCAAAAAGAATTGTCAAAATCCGTTTAGTTTTAGCAAAGATATCGCGTAACGAACAAAACAAATCTGTCGAATTGAGATCGTCTTTTTGGCAGACGTCTCAAACGAACAACACATCACATCACAGACAACCGTGTGTGTGTAAGTAAAGTTATTCAGATAAATAATAGAGTTGTTGCAAATTGTATTTAACAAGTAATATGTAAGTAGCGGTTCAACAGTAACGAAGTACTGTAACGTTATGAGATATGTGACGCCAGTAGTACATGTTTCAAAAATACATTATTTTATTGTTTAACCATTTATAATAATGTTAATGTATGTTTTTATGAATTTATCTTATTATAACAATATTACAAAAAAGTATATTTTAGTGGTAGAGAAGTACTCATAAGTAATTAGTATTATTATTTATATAGTAATTAATGTAACAATATACGACTTCTAGGTTTAAGTAATGAAATGGAAGTTGTATCAAAAGTAACCAGTATCGAATCGATAGTGCCAGTTGGTAACGGTTACCAATTGTTTTAGTAACTATTAACTATAAATACTTCATTTATCGTTTCTTCCACTAGTATATAACTTAGTCATTGACTGAGCACTCCCGCAGGCACTTTAATGAAATTTCTTGGGAACGTCCGAACAAAGTTATCTGCAACGTACGGAAAGATAAGCCTCGTTATGATCAGAGGTACGGTAATTGCTATTGGCTTCTAGTTGCGAGTTTATTATATTTTTCCTATATTATTGTATGTTGCAGAGAGCGTAGCAGCTTAGTAGCTTAGTAATATAACTTTAACTCGATAGTTTATGTGTTTAAATCTGGCTGACACCAAAATAATTTTCAGTTTCAATTTATATTTCTGAATGATTCTCCGTTGAGGAAAATCTTGATATCAGACCAAAATATATCCAAGTAACAGCCGTAGCAAGCCTTCTGTATTGTTTACTATTTTGTGACAGCTTTCAACCTCTGATTAGTCAATTTGGCATAACAGAAATAAAGATATATTGTTATTGTTTAAGTAACGGATAATGTTATATCCATTACTTAAACAATCATTAAACTTAAAATACATTTTCTGAATACTGAAATTCAACGTTGAAATTCAAACTGTTTGCACAATATCGTATTGGGAATGTAGTAAAGAATGCCAATACTTATAGGAAAACACATTTGAATTCCAAGAATTCAGAATACAAGACTTCAGGAATGCGGTGCGCGAGTCGAGCTCAGCACCCGCATCTTACAAGAAGACGGAATGCAATTTTATCTGATCCCAACTGCTAACTCCACTAATTAAAGTTTAGGAATCTAGAGTTTGCTCAGCAATGGAAAGTTGTAAACTATTGATTTTTCTATCGTACATATTGATTAACATTTATCGTTCGTTATAACCATATTGGTACATTATTGCAATAATTTTGAGCCCTTCTTTAAACTTGGTGTTCAATATGTTTGCGTGTATTTAACTTTAGCGTGATCGCTTAAGCGATAAAACTGTCTTTTGTACCTATATACATTAAATATTCTGTTTTATGTATTACTACTTACCATCACGTGAGCTATCACTCTGTTTACCATTCAAATAGCATAAAAAAGGTAAGAAAGACGCACGTAAACGACCTAGCTAGTTAAAAGGATGTCGCATATTTATGCATGCGTTTATTTTAATTTCAAAACACTATTCTTATAGAATCAACTCATGCGACAAAATATTTGACACATTCCAGTGTACCTGTATAATTTAGTAAATAAAAATGTCATTAAGTTTCCATTTATGGCGCAAGATGGCGTGAACAATAAAAAAGACGTTGGTACGATTTTCTTGGATTTATGTATTTACTCTTTGTTACACTATAAGTAAATTATAAAGAATATAAATAGAAGAAATAATGTCCATAGAGCGGTCTTAATTCATAAGCAAACTCTTCCACTTTTGGGTAGTGCAGAGAAGATAGAAAGTGGTAGATACCGCAAGAATGGACTAGAGAAATAAAAGACAGCAATACTAACTGTGACTGTAAATAATAATAATTAATATATACTACTTACACATGTATACCATAAATACAATGCATTTTATATAAAAAGAAATTTTTCATTCGATTCTATTCTGTTCTGTTTTAACCAGTTCTGGAAAGAATATATCCACCATTCTTCATTATTGTGTTTCATTTCGTGATTAAATGTACATCCTTGATTTAGTGTGAACAGTTCGCTGTTCAGTACCTATATAAAAGTAGATTGGCAAAGTATTTTTGTTTAATTTTATATTACAATACTTCCAAATGAAACGAAATTAAAAAATCATTAATGAATTGCAAATTAGAAGTCGGGATTGTTTCAGAAGCAGAAAATTAAACACTCGCAATTGTATTGACTCTTTTTCATCTTTTTCCAATTTTCCTTAATTCATTGCCTCGTCTATTTACAAATGGATATTACAATAAGTATTATACTTCACGATTAATTATTTTTTTATATTTTAATATACAACAACACAAGCATACTTTATAAAGTATGCACGTATTAATAAAATATAATTCATTAATAATAATAATAATAAAGCGGAGAAAAAAAATAAAATATAGAATAATAATAATAATAGTGTGGTATTCGCCACAAACCGTAAAAATCCAGCAAAAAGGTTGAGAAAGCGAAATACACAAATAATAATAATAATATTTCAGGACAATTCACACAGCCCCATATAGTCTCAAACTAAGCAGAGCTTGTGTTATGGGTACTAGACAACTGATATAAATACGTGGATACATTTTTTTTGTAAATAAATATTATTCATAGAAAACACCCAGATCGATACAAACAATCATACTTTGTACCGTGCGAGGAATCGAACCCACGACCATCGGATAGTAAAGCGGTGTGCTAAACCACTAGACCAATAGGCTGTCATTAATAAACATCTACATTTTTAATTTCACTGTAATTCTATACTTGTTATTTTTATATTGTTTTCATATTACATACATATCTTGTTCATTTATTCAAAATGTTAGAATAACAATAACAAGAAGAAAGTGAAGATTATCACTGAATGTGTGATATTAATTTTCTTTATTTCTATTAATAATAGTATATAATTTAATTAATGAATAAATTAATTCAAGGATTGCTATTATCATTCTTTAATCTTCTTTATTTAGTATAAAATGGAGTCGGTTCACTGTATGTTCGCTTAGATATATTAAACTATGTAACCGAGTTTAATATAGTTTTTAGTAATAGATAGAGTGATTCAAGAGGAAGGTTTAAATGTATAATACACGCACACGCGTTGCGAAGCCGGGGTGGGTATGTTTTTTTTAACGAATGATAATGGAATGTTGCACCCTCTTGCGCAAACGGTTTTCGCCTGCGTGGCACCAGTGGAAGATGATAAGATGAGCATGAGGTCAGGTCAGTTACCCCATCTTGACAAATTCACAAGAAATTTATCACGATGGTTTCCAGGGGGAACCGCGTGGAGATCAACCTGACATGGTACATTGCTAGCAATAAGATAATCAATCCACATTACTAACAATCCCCTTTTCCCCCCGGGGTGTGTATTTTTTTTTTGTGAATGATAATGGAATGGTGTACCCGCCTGCGCTAACGGTTTACGCCGGCGGGGCACCAGTGGATGATGACAAGATGAACATGAGGTTAGGTCAGTCAGCCCATCATGACAAATTCACCTAGAATTCATCACGATAGTTTCCAGGGGGAACCGCGTGGAGGTCGACCTAAAATGGTACATTGCTAGCAATGGGAGTTACTAGTTCCCATTACTAACAATTCCCTCCCCCCCGGGGTGTGTATTATAAAGTGTATTCTAAAATCACTCTTTAAATGATCACCTATAGATAAGTATGATTTGAAATTATACGTAAAAAATATATGTAATAACCTTTCAAGCTGTGTCTTTTGTAATACGATGCTATAAATAAAAATAATGGGAAAAATATTGCTGTACGTTTAAGTAAATACGTCATTAGGGTGCCTTTATAAGAATCTCGTTTCGACTTCGAGATTATTGTATTTACGTAAGGGAACGACGCGAAATAGAAAATTTATAGATATTCTTAAGATAAATGTTTTTAAGGACGAGTATACGGCTTTCCTTTGTCATCTAAAAACCAGAAAGTAAAATATACAATTAAAAAAAACAATGACATGTCTGTTTTCGTCTGTACCGAGGATTTCAAACAAATAATATGTTACGAATATCATAAACGCTGAAATTGATCGTGAACCTATGGTATTCGTAGATAACCCTTCTTGTGAAATATCAGACAATCTTACTAATATTATAAAGTCGAAACTTTCCGAGTGTTTCTGAACGCAAAAACTTCTGAACGGATT